ATCCAGTACCTCCTGGCGGAGCTTCCGCTTCCCACCGCTCTTGACGTTATCCTCGCCCCTTGTAAGATTTCCAGCATTTTGCAACAGCCGCGCCAGCGGCTGTAGGGCCATTTCCTGCTCTCCATCAGTGCCAGTATCCATATGATCAGAGCCAAAATCGCTCTCATCATCCGACTGTGCAGCGCCTGCCCCCCCTCTCTTGGCTCTTCGCCCACCTGCTCTAGCGGACATGTTCGCCCAATCTGGAGCAGGATGTAGCCGCTCATACTGCTTGCGTAGTCTCCGTATATACTCCGAGCCCGTGACGACATCGTCCTCTGCCGTGAGTCGTAGCTTTCGCAGCCGATTATTTTTCGCCAGGGAGACAGTGATGCGTTCATCATCGCTGTCTTCCCACGCCGCAGGCGGTTCGTTCTCACGCTGATCATTCGACGCATTCTGCGCGATTGGCAGCTTGGTATCGTCCACACCCGCCGTACCGGAGTCTAGAAAGAAGAGCTACACACGTCAGTATAAGGAGAGTTTTCGATCGTGCGGCGCTCGACAGGATCAGGGGGAAAAGCAGATACGATACGTTTATTATTATATCTGTAGCAAGTAAAAACCTACATCCGCATCATCCACATGTTCCAAGCCGCCCTCCTCTTGCGCTTCCTCTTCCTCTACGCCTCCATCTCCACCCTCACTCGCACCATCCCTCAACGCAATCTCCATAGCCCCAGCATCCCGATCCCTTAGCGCATCATGAAACCCCGCCGCATCGCCAAAGAGTAACCGCTCAAGCGTCTCTTCCGTTGCATCCTTGGGTATTTGTTCACTTTCGCTGATGGCATTGTCAGCGAAGTCGTCCCCGTCCGAAGCGCCGTGAGTATCGACGAAAAAGCCTGCTTCTATCGTTGGCAGTGCAGATGCTGCTGCTGCTGGCTTTTTCTGCTTCACGCGGACTTTTTGCTTTGAGGGCATTAGGTTTGGGGGATAGTGCTATAGTAATGTTTTTTTTTTTTTTTTTGGATGATCAACTTGCGGAGACAAATAGGAGGAGGTAAGGAAGGGATAATAAATAAAATAAAGTATCTAGATTGTGGGAAATAGAAATTCATCCATACTTTTATAGACGAAATATCGAGAATGATAAATTGCTTGGGGTTGTCCAATTTTCTGACGGAGTAAAATTTAATTGATGCCTGAGGCTGCAAGATTGTTGTGTCATGTGATCTTTGTTGCCGAGATCAAGGTTTTTTTTTGACGTACCTACGATACAAAATCGTTGGCAACTATATAAACACAACGGCGCCAGAGCTTCACCGCAACAGCACCTGGAAATAATTTAAAGAAAAAGAGAAAGCTAGAGGCCTCCTAAAAGCGTCTCAATAGATAAAATATGAATATGTATGTAAAGATGATTCATGGTAAGTCACATTATCCTCGTCCCCCCCCCCCCCCCCCCCCCCCAATTGAAAAAACGGGGCGTAGAATATCACCCATAAGAGTGGTAAAGTACGGTTGAAAACCATAGACAATATAAAATGCAATGCAATGCAATGTTTTCCTGACTGCGCGTTGGATTCCGTGAAGAAGGAGAGAGGAGAGGAAAGAAGTAGCGTTTGAGTGCCAAAGAGAAGAAGACGACGGCGACGAAGACGACAATGTTAATGCAGAATAGAAAAGAAATGAAACAACAAACATGTCAGAACTTTCACCAACACGCCAAACATCCCGCACATGGAATAATGCAGTAGAGCAGAAAGGTAAAGTACAGAATAATGTGCACTGGGTATTCTTTCATGAAAGAGAAAACCGAAAAAAAAGAAAAAGAAAAAGAAAAAAAGAAAGAAAAAATCAGCAAAGAAGGGGCGGAAGGGGGTATGTCAACGAAAATAAAACAATTAACAAAAAACAAAACAACAACAAAACAAAAGCGTAGTGATTGCGTATCTCTCAAATGAAATCAGGATGGATGCACTAATCAAGTCGTGGCACCATTGCCTCTATCACCAGCCTCCAACGAATGCTTCACCCCGCGCTCGTCATCATCCGGAAACACGACACGGTCTCCCTCATCGCTCGAAAATTCAGCATCCTCATCGTCAATCCCCGCCAGCAAACCCCTTCGTCGATGTCGATCGTCATCCCGCCGCTGTATCCCTGCATCATCAAACCTACCGCCAGCACCAGCACCACCAACAACGCCATCATCATCGCTATCAATGCCATCCAGATCTCCACCCGGCACTCGCTCACACCTCACAACAGGGATCGGCTTCTTGATAAAGATATCAATGATGTAATACTGCACCGCATTCATGATGACAGGGAACAAAAGCATGACGAAGAAAATCTGGATCGCGGTGTTGCCCTCTGTCCACCGGAGGGCCCAGTCGCCGATCTTGACGATGAAGGGGAGCATGTGGATCAGCACGACGACGCAGGTTTTCATACACAGCAGACCGAAGAAGTAGATCATGGACTGCTTGAACCACCACCAGGCGCTCGGTGGGCGGCCGTAGTTTCCCGATTCGATGGATTCGGGCGGGTTGGCGAGAGGGGTGTACAGCGCGGCGTGGTTGAGGATGCGGAGGAACAGGATTAAGATGGGGATGCCCAAGGTTGTCTGTATATTGTGATTAGGATGATTTCAGGTCAAGAGAGAGATAGTGTCTCGGGGGAAGAAGGTATCAGAATGAATAAAACAGCATACATCAATCCCCAAATTCAGCAAATAATACGAGCACGGGTTGGGCTGATAAGTCGCAGTCACGGGTATCTGGCCAGCAGAAAACATCGATGCGAGCAGGTTGGCTAGGTGCAGCAGGACAGAACCGAAGACCTGCTTGGACACGTCGAACGCCCATACCTTCACGGGCCGCTGTGGCCGTTCTCGCCATCGCTTGTACACCAGAGCCAGCAACGCGAGGGCTCCCAGTGCAGCCTGCACGATTAACGCGAAGGAGCCGAGGAGC